AAGGCCCCGGGAGTGGTTGGTGGGTCCTGCCGCTGCCTCTGTTTATCGGGTGCTGAAAATGCGACCCGCCTTAGTACCAGAGTGAGCCGAGCTGGTGCGAGGGGTGTCGGAGTCACTGGGTCCTTGGGGGACCTCGACTGCAGCCCTTGTGAAGTGACAAAATACTTCAGCTGTGGAGAAAGCCAGGGATGAATAAACAAGTCATAAGTGGCGGGAGTCTTTTATTTTACCTCAGCCTTAAGCATTGGCTCTTGATCAACTCATGGTTCCCAAGATAGCTTTGTTAACAGTGGAGGGAATGAAACAAGACCCGAGATAGTTCCCACCCCCCTAGTAAGTGCACGGCTGTATAAGGAAATCAGTGTAATTATTTTGTAGTTATTGGGGCATACACATCAACTATTGTAACTAAAAGTAAGATGCTGTAACAAACAGGAGACGGGGCTAGATTATTTCGAATAAGATCTATCAATCAAAGATCAAATCCAAAGATCACACTAGGGTTAGATTAGAAAGTAGGATTTAAAGGGTGCAGTAAAACAGCAGGATGATCCAGCATATGAAAGGGATATAGGATGTAGATGAACCTGACAAGACAAGTCACAAGTGTCCTACATCAGGGAAGTGACCCAAAATCCAGGACAGCAATTACAGCTGACCACCTGTAGCTGATTAGCCGCTTTGCGTCTTGAGAGACTAGAGAGAGAAAAACCCAAGTAAAATCCTCTCTTACCTGTTTGATCAAAACCAGGAAAGTGGCCTCATTCATAATGATTAACTCAGAATTAATTTTACCTGTTCCTTCTTCCTTCCCCAAAGAAGGCTTATGTAGCCTTCTACAGACCCTAAGTAATGCTTGTTCTTTAAATAAGAGATTTTTGTAAGTTTAGCTTGCATAATCACTCAGTTTCAATTCCAGAAGCCTTCATATGGTTAGTCTTGCCCGTCTTTTCTTTACTTCCAGGTTTTTACATGGCTCTTCTAAAGCATTTGCTAACTCCCTGTGGAAACCATGGTGTTGCTAATTAAAATCCAGAAAGAAACTTCATAGTTTAGTGTTGTACAGTGGCAGGTCATGTTGATGCCTTTCTAAGTGCATTTCTTTCATCAATTTCATTTTAACAGAACATTTCTGATATCTTGGTATATGAAGCCAGTGCTGATCTATAATCAGCAGTTAGAGGTGGTGAAAACCCTGGACAAAGCTGCTATTGCTCTGCCAAAGAAAGCAAAACTAAGGTAGGAATTTGCTCCTGGCACTCTGATCTAGGCATATATTACTGCAACAGCAAGAGTGTAACACTAAAAAGCAAAGTATTTTTACAGTGATTTACTCACTGGCAGAGAGGTGGCAAATCTGGAAGATGCTGCAGTACAGATCTGAGCTGGGAAGCACTGTGTAAGGCTGTACAATTAATAAGTTGTACTGAAGTCCAATCTGGAAATTAAATTGGAGTTTTCAGTATTTTAAGTTTCACCTTACTCAGTTTCATTTCCTTTGCCCTAAGAAACTAAAAAAACCACCTTTTTTCTTCCTAATTCATTATTACTGAGTTACTAATCACCTTAGTTAAAATTTACTCAAACTAATGGATTGCACTAAGCTGTATAGACTATTAAAGCTCTACCTAAAGCTTTAAGTGGTGCATTCCTTTATGCAAGAACGAATTTTTTCCTTCAGGACCTAACCTATAAAAACTGTGTTAGTCTGACAAGGAACTCCAATACCAAATACCTACCAGCCTTCTTTTATAGGGAAATATATACCTCTATTTTAAATTTAAATATAAACCAAATTTAAATCTAAAGTAACAGAAAAACACTAATTTTGTAATTGTATTAAAAACTCAAAGCTTTATCATTTGCTTGCTGTACTACAGGAGTAAATAGGTCTTGCTTGTCTTAGAAATGAGCAGTTTGCTTACCAATACTGCTGCACAAAAATTGACAAGGCAAAGTGAAGTTCAAGTAATACAGTAATTCACATTGCATTCCAAGTATTATTTTCAAATACACAGAGAGTTACCAGTGATCTTTCTGTTTCATTGAGCATTTCTACTCATCATTGTTACTGACTGCTAGCTCAAAGCAAGCACGGAAGCTGTTCTGAAGTTTGTGATAGCACATGCAAGACTTCACCTTCTAACACATTAATCTCATCCTGAGAATATTTTTACAGCCGAGGTTCTGCAAGCCTTGAGCATGGGAAGTTCTTCAGCATCAGCCCCAGAGGTCGCTGCTCATTTGACAGCTCCCATCGTATCATCACTGCTGAAGATTAGAAGGTAAGAAAGGTCTAGTTTCCTACCTGGGCTTTAGTAATGGATTAGGTAGCACGGTATGAATTGTTTTGGTGGATGACTCAAGGTTAAGACTGAGATGTGGATCACTCATGAGGCTCAGGCTGGGTGGGGAAGGCAGAACAGATTATCTGCCTGGATTCTGAAATTTTCAGCTTTGCTGTCTTACGTTGTGTGGTATTCTCTAAGTAGCTCTGGAGCTAGATTAACATGGAACAAGTTCCCTGAGACTTGCACAGCTGTGTTTGCAAGCCGAGCTGTTCAAGTGTGCTTGCATGTGTAAGAGACTTTACTTGCTGACTCTGTTAACTTGAAGGGAAGTGTCTGCTTGAGGAGGTTACTATCATGCTACGGAAACCTCACTCTTGCTAATCAAAATCCTGGAAGAAACTTCATTGTTTAGTGTAGTGTTGTCATGGTATTTGTGATTCCGAGTGCATTTATTTCATAAAAATTAACACAGCATTTCTGGTAATGTGACTATATGGGATTAATGGTGACCTGTAATGAGCAGTTAGTGGTAGTAAGTCTGGAAAGTGCTGCCAAGAAAAGGGAAACTAAGGCATGAATTGCTTCTGGCACTATGATCTAGGGTTATACTGCAGCAGCAAGAGCTTAACACTAAAAAGCAAAGCAATGTCTAGAGCTATGTACCCAAAGGCAGGCAGGAATGTCATACTACACAGATTGTATACTGCTGTATAAAACAGCTGTTGGTAAGGCTGTAAGTGTTAATGAAAACTTTAAAAGACTCAAAATCTGCACATCAGCTGTGTGTATTGTATATCATGTTGTCTCCAAACTTAACAAAGATTTTAAAAACTTAATGAACAAGTTTACTAGCGACATGCTCCACTTTTTTTTGCCTTCTAATAGAACCTGATCTGCCACATTCATTTAAAACTGGAAAATTAGGAAAGAATTACTAGTTGGAGTATTCTAGGTTGACGGCTATCATAACTTCATGATGACATGAAAATTTCTGTATTTGTAAATTGCAGTTTCTAATCATCATATTTGAGAAGCTTTGGACTATGATCTGTATATAACTGATGCAGTAGCATCTGTTTGAATTTGCACACACAATACTCCCCCCCCTCAAATTGCTGAAAGTTAACTATTCTGCTGATTGCAAAGGGATGTTAATTCCTAGCCCAATTACACCACACTATCTGCATCACTTCACATGGGGTGCTGCACAAAAAGATGCCGCAGTTAGTGTCAGGGTCTCTTGTAGCTTCCAATTTGCTTTTCTTGATGATGGCAAGAGATCGGCCGCCTACTAGGCAGTGCTGGCCCTGCCTCCTTGGAAGAGAAGGATCTAGCGCCACAACCACCACCAAAGGGTAAAAGTTACCAGGAAGCTCTTCCCGCATTGCAAATGTGAAAGCATCTAGACATAGTATGCTTGTTATTTGCTTGTAATTTTCAAGACAAAGCATTGGCCCATAGTACCATTCATAAAATGGTGCTTGAGTCCTGCAGACTTAAGTAGCTGTGGCAGGACTTTGAGAGCTTTCAGAAGAAACATATTTATCAAGTCAGCTTGCGAATTTGTCTTTCCACTTTTTAAGAGCTTGTTCTTTTCACAACCTGTATTTCCCT